GTCAAAAATTCAACCCCGGACCCGCTTGGTCCAAACTCGAAATTCGGACTAAAATTTGATTACCCATTCACTTTCGAGCCCGGATATACAATTGGCTTTGGAATCTGACCTCAAATTGAGATCTAAATCCCCAATTTATAAAAATCTCTAATTCTACCCAAACCCCCAATTTTTACCATAGAAATCTTAGATATTTTATTGGAAATTCATGAAATATGATGGAAAAGTGAAAGAAAGTGGGTTAGGATCACTTACCAAAGTTTTAGGGAAGATTTGTCTTGGGAGAATCACCTCTAGGGTTTTAGGATTTGAGAGATGTGAAAAATGGGTGAAAATCTTGTCTAAGTCCCAACTTAATAGCTGCAGATGTCGCAATTGTGACTGGAGCTTTGCAATTGTGAAGCTCGCAAATTGCGATCAGGGACATCCGCAAATGCGATAAAAGGATCGCATTTGCGATCACACCCCTTCCCAGACTTCCTTTACAATTGCGAAGATTTGTTCGCATTTGCGAACTCTGCTGGCCCATGCCTTCTTCATAATTGCAATGAGGCCCTCGCAATTGCCATGCCTGATATGCTCACATTTGTGAAGTCTGATCTCGCAATTGCGAGATCAGAGGCCTACAACAGAACTGAATACCTACAACATTTTCTCCAAGTCCAAAACACTCCGCAGCCTATTCAAAACTCACCTGAGCCCTCGGGGCTCCAAACCAAACATGCACAAAAGTCTTAAAATATCATATGAACTTGCTCGCGCGATCAAATCTCCAAAATAATATCTAGAACTATGAATTCAACACCAAAACTCATGAAATTTTCAAGATAGTTTAAAATTTCTAACTTTTCAACCAAAGATCCGAATTACATCAAATCACCTCCGTTTTCCACCAAATTTCACATATACAACTTAAATACTATATCAAACCTGTACTGGGATCCGAAATTTAAAATACGGGCCCGACACCAATGAAATCACACACTATTCTATTTCTAAAATTTCTTATATTTTCCAGCAAATAATTTTTTTCAAAACTTCATTTCTCGAGCTAGTGACCTCAAAATTCGATTCCGAGCATATGCCCAAGTCTCATATTTTACTACGGACCATTCGGGACCGTCGGAATACGTGTCCGATTCCGTTTACCCAAAATATTGACCGAAGTCAACTAAAATTATCTTTTTAAGCCAAAAATGATTATTTCTTAAATTTTTACACAAAAGCTTTCCGGTATTGCGCCCGAACTGCGCATGCAAATCGAGGAGAAATAAAAGGAGGTTTTTGAGGCCTCAAGACACAGAAATGAATTCTAAAACAATAGATGACCTTTTGGGTCATCACAATTTTACCTTAGCTGAGATCTTCAGTACTAAAGTTATCCCCGATTATTACATCTTGGATTACTAAAATCAAAAACCAGATGAAGATAGATGTACGCAAAGCAAACACAGAGGGAAAAACCACAACGAAGAACGAAGAATATGGAAAGAATAGAGAGGAAGGAGCAAGGAACAATACAATCAATAGAACTCACCGGAAATGTTTAAGTCGGAGCAAAGCAACACTAAATCCTAAACGGTGAAAGAGAGAGAGAGATGAAAGAGAGAGAAAAGGAGATGGAACCGAAGAAAATAGATAAGACGCGGCTTTTCAGCTTCGAAGTAGTAGTTACGTTTTCTTAGATATTGTAAAAAGTCAACAATGCCCCCAACTATAAAATTAATGACACTAAGCACACATGTCAAAACTCTAGTTTTTTATAATAACTAGGTAAGGATAGCCCGTGCCAGCACATGCCCAATATATTAGATTTTTAGCCTTTTCTTTTTCAATTGCAGCAATGATAGTAAACAAATTGAAATAGATAATCATAATCAAAAGAGTTTTCCATACAACATGAGCATTTTTTTATTTTTTTATTTACAATATGTGAAGAAGGACATAAGAACGATGCCTTTTAACAACCAATCAAGAGCCTCATTTACTGCATCTTTTTAGCTTGCTACTTAATGGAAGACTGTCATGGTGCGCATTCCGTCGAACTCTGTTGTTTCTTACTAGTTTGTTATTAGATTGCTTTGTCTTTTAGGTTAATATTGCATATACTGATCAATTTAATAACACCTGGACCACCTTATTTACTTGGTAGAAGACTTGATGGTGCTGCTACAATACAAAAAATGAACCATACAAAAACGAAAGAACAATTCTTCCAGCTTCAATCAAGTCTTCAACTGCCCTTTTGAGGGTCCAGCAGTCCTCCGTACTGTGTTCCACTACTCCAGAATGATATTCACATCTAGCATTAGCTCGGTGTGAGGGTTACTCAGGGTTCGGCTGGTTCGAGGCTACTGGCTGCATAGACCTAACCTGATTAACTTTTGGAACAAGCTTGAATACGATTCACCGATAGGGATGAATTGATTCTTTTTTAGGGGATCTCTTGGGCGAGGATTGTATTGGGGAACATTTGGTTAGGGATTGTATGGAGCTTGATAAGGATGTGCATTTCTAGGAGGTGGAGTTCGGTTTTGTATATAATGTTGTGGTTGTGTGTAAGGTTGCGCGTTCATCACCGCATAGGAAGGCGGTGCCACGACATAAGGAGCATCTTGATGGGGATAATAGTGTTGTGAGACCTTAAGAAACATATATGATTGGTTGAATATCCTGCGGGCCCCCTACGAGCTCGAAGCCATCATGTCCCCCTACGGAGGTTCAGTAAAGGAGTACGGGTTACATATGTTATTTCTAGTTGAAACTGTGGACCCTAAAGGTGAACGTTGGAGGCTCAACATACGGCCGTGGTATAGTTAGTTGTGATGTGGTGTAGACTGGTGTTGCAGAGAACATTTCTGGCAGTGCCTTTGAAGCCGACGCCTGGGGCGAACCACAAAAAATATTTCGGGAAAGTTAGGCGGCATTGAGGGTATCAACATGGGATGAGCGTATTGGGCATAGGGATGTTGATAGCCCCACCTGACCTCGGGATCAACTTAGGAAACTCAGGGATTGCACTTGGCGGTTCCCTACGATTAGACTAGGCGTCCCACATTTTTATCATGCGGAGACGCAACATCCTATTCTCTTCAATAATTGCTGATTCTGGTTGTGGAATAGCCGATGTCGGGCTATTCTAAGGATCAATATTTGGTAGATGACTGTCGGAAGCCATATGAACCTTACCTTTAGATCTTCTGAAGTATGGATGAGAAGCCATATTACCAACAAAACCTACCACCTGAACATAACCTAATTAATTTGCACACACTATAACCATATTAGTTTTGAGACATTTAACATAAAAAAAAATCGCATGTTGGGATGCAATGCATCTAACAGTTAAACGCTTCTACCATGTGTTTGAATGGTTGTGTGTTTCATCCTTGCCATTAAATGTCCCTTTTCACTCTGTACCTCTTTTCTTTCATTACCACTCTGTTAGTTTTTTATCACCCTTTTCTTTCTTTTCCACTCAATTTTTCTTTCTTTCTTTTTTTTCGATTTATTTTTCACTCAATTTATTTAAATGATCGAATCCGATGGGGATTGCCTATGTATCATGACGCCACATGAATGAGATCATTACGTAGTTCAAGAAACAAATAGCTCCTAATCATGGAAAAATAATTTGGATTTTGAATTTTGAATTTTTATTATTGTTTTTCGAAAGAAAGACTACTAATAATTCTTTTTCTTTTGTTATGAACTTTGAAATTTCAAAAGTAAAAAGAAAAATATTTTGTTTGAATTTCCATTTGTTTTCTCTTTTTCTAAAGAAGAAAAAAAATATTTTTTGGATTTTGAATTTTGCCTCTGAATTTTTTGAAAGGGGGACTTTTAAGAAAATAGTATTTTTTTTACTTTACAAAAGTACTTCTAAAGAAAAGAGAAAATATTTTTAGACTTCAATTTTTTCAATTTTTTATGACATTTAAGAAAGAAAGACTTCTAAAGAAGAAAAAGAATATTTTTAGATTTTTGTTTCTGATTTTTGTTTTGGATTTTTGGAAAAAATAATTTAAAATAAAGGAAACCTTATTTTGGATTTTGATTTTTGATTGATTTTTAATTTATTTTTCGTATGAAAAACTTCGGAAAGAAGAAAAATATCTTTTGGGTTTTAAAATTCCTTTTTTTTAATTTTCTAAGGAAAGACCTCTAAAGAAGGAATAAAATGCCGAAAAATATTAGTATTACATTAGTGTCACAAATCAATTTAGGATCATGACCGGCGCTTAAGAGCAAGTGCTCCCAATGAAGCCTCTTCGGTAATTTACAGAAAATTGAGCAGAGTTTTTCCTATTTTAGGACTATCCAAAAAAAACATGTCTTAGAAATCAACAACACAACCAACCAATATACACCAAAACAAGTCATAATCCTCATTCACGAAGTATTTCCAACACAATAATTCCAACTTCATCTCCAAGTATACGATGGGAAGTCTAATACGAGTCACATGTCTATATCAATAAAAGAATACTTATGACACTCATAAAATGACTATGGAGCGACTCTAAGAGTTCATAAGGAAAGACGATAACAAATAAATAAACTTTTCACTCACGCGAACAAGTACGGGGCTCGCCAGGAACTATCATCTCGTGTGAACACCTAATTTTTGCCCCACAGAGGAATTTACTTCTAAAAATAGTCCAAAATAATTTTTATTGTTGTTATAGAATTTTAGGAGTTTTCTTTTATTTGTTTTGCATGTATTCGCATTGTTTATGCATGTTAGAAATATCGTAAATCACAAAAAATCATATAAAATATTCAAATCTTAATTTTATTAGCATTTTAAATTTTAAATTGTATTTTTTAAGATTTAGTTACATATTAAGTGCATAATTAATACATGAAATCAAAAAAAAAAAAGTACACATCAATCACTCTTGTTGCATTTTTAGATTCAATTAGTTAAATAGGTTATTTTTGCAAAATTAATTTGAAATTGAATATTTTAATTAATGGTTTAATTTTGAAATACAAAGAAAGAAGTAAAGGAGCTAACAAAATCAACCTAGTCGCCTCTCCTCCTCCTTCACTCTCTTATCTGCATCCACCAGTTAAGTCAGGTAGCGAACAAAATCTGAAGGGCTCGGGAGGAAATCCAAGTCGCGAGCATCGTCGTTTGATCCCTTCATCAACTTTTTCACAATCTACTAATACAGAAGGGACACAACGAACTGAAACGACACTCTTCTTAGGCGGCAAACTTGGTTCTCTTTCGCTACTGCTAGGTACCCTTCTTTCTCTTTGACTTTGTTCCTCTTGATTTCTACCCTTATACTCCAAAATTCATCCTTATGCTAAAAGCCCTAATTTCTTTTATTCCCTTAGGATACACTCCAAAATTCATCCTTATGCTAAAAGTCCTAATTTCTTTTATTCCTTTATTACGTGATTTTTTCTGTTTGACATAACTTTTTGGATTGGTTTGAAATTAAGGCTTGATGTAAAAGTTGTTCAAACACTTCATATTCTTCATAAAAAATTGACCAATTATTGGACTTCCTACTGATGTGCTTAATAGAATCAAAAGGTATGTGGTTCCTATTTCTCTTCTTCTGATTTTTTCCTGTACAATAACACATCTGAATAATCCCCAGATAGTCTTTGTATTTAATGTTTGTTGAAGAAGCAGTCAACAAGAAAGACTGATTTTTTGTCAATTAAGTCATTAAAAAACAGAATTGAAAAGACAATTTCTTCATAGGGAAGATCAAAGTGGTGGTTGAAATTGGATTCTGAATTTGGTTTCCCCTTCTTCATTCCAACTTGAGCCTGGAAATTTTGGTTATTTTATGAAGGTCATTTTGGTAGTTGTTATGTTGTGAATTGTCTCTTTTGTCAGTTCATAAACTTGGTAAATTTCATTGCTTAAGATTTTTATGCTACAGAGATAGTTTTTAGAAGCTCGGATATGCTCATATTAGTGAAGTTCTGTCTGATGTAACTAAGTGCTAGCTACTCTGCTCGTAATTTCGTAATATCAGCCTGACATGTTTTATGTTTAATAAAACCTTATCTTATCAATAAATAAAAAGTTTCAACGACTCTGCTTATAATAGGGTTTTAGTATAGGGCGAACGTGTCAAAATTGAATCTTGGGCAGTGAAGTTTATGTATGGGGTGAAGTTTATATATTGAGAGAAGTTTGAAAAACCGAGTGCAGTATTTAGATTGGAGTTGTAATACTAATATAAAAAGTAGAAAGTATTAATATGTTGATTTACCAGTAAAAGGAGAACTACATATAGAACATAGTCAATGCAATGAAAAATTAGTTTGAAGCAGAGAATATATTGCATTGTCTAAGATGAAAGACCTAAAAAGACTTTGACTAAAGTGAGGTCATTTTTAGGACACAAACACAATTGAATTTTTCGGATAATATTCATTATTAAGCTATCTAAGAGAAGGGAATATGTAGGAAAATAGATTAGTAATAATGAGTCAGAAAACAAACTAAAAGTTTATAGTAACAAATTGAACGACTTAAGACAATCATAAATTTCTATGATAACCGTTTTATTGTCGATTTGGGATATCATATTTTTATAACAGTTTCATGGTGATGAATTTGTCTTTCGTAGAATGAACAGGCTAAAATGCAAGAAAACAACAACTATATTAAATAACTGAAATAACATTTAGTCTATATATAGACTATATGTATAATAATATAAGCAACAACAACGGACCAGTATAATCCCACAAGTGGAGTCTGGGGAGGGTAATATGTACGCAGACCTTACCCCTACCCCGAGGGGCAGAGAGGCTGTTTCCAGGAGACCCTCAGCTCAAGAAAGCAACAAGAGACGATATATTAGTACCATCAATAGAATCATAATAAAATAACAGCAATATAAGAAATATGAAATATGTGGAAAGTATAAGAATAGCCAGTAGATAAAGCCCTGCATAAGTAGATGACCAGTAGCATCCTAAGACTAACTTCTAACTGGCTAGTCTCATTCTAGTACGCTGTAGAAATATTCACAACTTCCCCCTAACCTACAACTTTGATGCTCGACCTCCACAATTTCCTGTCAAGGGCCATGTCCTCAGTAATCCTAAGTCGCGCCATGTCCTGCCTGATCACCTCTCCCCAATACTTCTTAGGTTGCCCTCTACCTCTCCTCGTGCCCACCACAGCCAGTCGCTCACACCTCCTCACCGGTGCATCAGTGCTCCTCCTCTGAATGTGCCTGAACCATCTGAGTCTTGCTTCCCGTATCTTGTCCTCCATGGGGGCCACTCCCACCTTCTCTCGAATATCTTCATTCCTAATTTTATCCATCCTTGTATGCCCGCATATCCACCTCAACGTCCTCATCTCTGCTACTTTTATCTTCTGGATGTGTGAGTTCTTAACCGGCCAACACTCAGTCCCATACAACATGGTAGGCCTAACCACTGCTCTATAAAACTTACCTTTTAGTAACGGTGACACTTTTTTGTCACGCAGAACTCCCGACGCTAACCTCCACTTCATCCACCTTACCCCTATACGGTGTGTGACATCCTTGTCGATCTCCCCGATCCCCTAAATAACCGACCCAAGGTACTTGAAACTACCCCTCTTGGGAATGACTTGAGAGTCAAGCCTCACGTCCACTCCCGCTTCCGTCGGCTCGACCCCAAATTTGCACTCGAGGTATTTCGTCTTCGTACTGCTCAACTTGAAACCTTTAGACTCAAGGGCATGTCTCCAAACCTCTAGCCTCTCGTTGACGCCGCCTCGTGTCTCGTCAATTAGAACTATGTCATCAGCAAATAGCATGCACCATGGCACCTCCCCTTGAATATGATGAGTTAGTACATCCATCACCAGGGCAAATAGGAATGGGCTCAACGCAGACCCTTGGTGCAACTTCGTAACAACCGAAAAATGCTTGGAGTCTCCTCCTACTATCCTAACCACAGTCTTAGCTCCATCATACATGTCTTTAATCACCCTAATCCAGGCAACCGGAACCCCTTTAGCCTCTAAGCAGCTCCATAAGACCTCACTAGGAACCCTGTCGTACGCTTTCTCCAGATCAATAAACACCATGTGGAGATACTTCTTCCTATCCCTGTATTGTTCCATGTTGTCACACCTCCTTTTTACCTATACCCCCGGAAGGGAGTATATAAGAGAGTTTTTCCGATTATAGTGACAATCGAAATGGGATTATTTCATTTTAAAAATTCAAAGTCGCCACATGGGATAATTATGGTGTCCCAACTAACCGATTCAAATCCCGATTCGAGGAAAGATCGACTCTGTATCACAGTCTGCGAACACAGAAATCCGGGTAAGGAATTCTGTTAATTCAGGAGAAGGTGTTAGGCATTCCCGAATTTCGTGGTTCTAGCACGGTCGCTCAACTGTTATAATTGGCCTATTATCTGATTTTAATACATGTTTTAGCCTATGGTTCAATTTTAACTTTATTAACCACTTTTAATTATTTTTTAGGAAGATTGCAACGTTATTAAAAACACGCCTTGAACCACGTCACATAAATGCACCCGCGGTCCTCGACATATTTTATCTAACATTGTTGAGATTCGAATTTGGGTCACATAAATGCGCACCCGAGATTAGGAAGGTAAGTTATTAAAATAACGCGCCTAAAGCAACTACGCACTTCAACTTTGCGAGGGCCATGGGAAATTCGCTAAATGGCACGCCTCGATTTCTAAGGATAAAACATTAATTAAATGAGGACCATGCAATTGAGATTTGTTTGGCATGACACACCTCGATTTATTTTTAAAGGGAATTCAAACTAAACTTTGGAGGGCCATAGCTATTTGTGTTGTTTAATGTGGCACACCTCCAATCTACTTTTAAAAATCTAATTAATTAATTAAGGAAAAACTTATGGGAATTCTAATTACTTTTTAACTAAGGGTTCTACCCTACAAGTTTACTAAATGGCATTGTATTAGAGAATTAAAGGCCCAAAGAGAAACTACTTCAATCATACCACTGAACAGACCCCTTTTTAAAAATGTCCTCCAGCTTTGGGCTCAAGCTAAGCCCAATTCCTGATGAAGAAAGGCGCCCAGGGGTCATACCCTTCAGCTGGGCCTGTGCTAAGCTCGATTTCTAGGCTCCAAATTATTATGCGAATCCAGAATGCCAATCAACTAATACCAACATGGAACATGAAGTCGAATTAGCAGGTTAATCCATGGTTTAAAATAATTGGCACAAATTAATTAAACTAATGATCTAATTTTATTTTTAGCAAGCAATTGAATCAGGTCTGCTATATGAAATGAACACAATACAAGCTATTGGGCTCAGCAGACAAGCCCAATGCATCTAGCGTGCCATCTTCTCTTGTAAATGGCCCAGAAATCTAAGGCTTCATGAACCAAAGACTTGCAGAACCAAAATTGGAAATCAGGACTCAATGTCGAGTCCTATCCAACACAAAAGCCTCCATAAGCTATTAGCTCACCAAACACTTCTATCATTAAGTGCACTGATAACAAGCAACAGAGGTTCATGCTTGTATTTAATCTCCAAACTAATCCCACAAACAAACATAGGAAATTTAAGCTCACTTAGATCATTTAAAAGGCAGTTTTGACTAAGTACAATACTGCAATGCTTTCCAAATTACAAAGCAGGACCCTGGACAACACTTCAATATGACAAATTCTGATTTCAAACTATAGGAACATTAAACTGACACCCTCAAGCAATCTTCCACTACAACATGTCTAACAGTTCACTCATACACTAGAGTTCAAACATTATTACAATGCCAACATTCCAAATTTAAACACCTATCCTCAATAACTAACACCACCTTAAGCCAGAAACATGAGCAAACAAACCAACATATGCAAAAGAACTAAATTAGTAATGAACTGGGGAATTTAATAACATAAGATAGCAGAAACTAGCAGTAATTACAGCAAGAACTAGTGTTTCCATTTAAATTCCAACTCAAGTTTCCAGATCTTTACACAGATTCAGTCAGGCTTCAATTCCATGACAGTTTCAAAGACATACCTGGAATTTGCAAAGGAAAAAGAAGTGAAGGATCAGCAGTAAATAGTAGCAGAATACAGCCCCAGATTCAATCAATCGAATAATGAAATTAGCCCAGGGAAACCAATGGAACAGTGACCAACCAGCAGAACTTAAACCAAAACTCTTTCCATGACCCAAATTCAATCCATTTCAAATCCCAGATGAGAAGCTATGATTTTTCAGAAGTTTTGTTCACCAAATGAAATCAGAAGACTCCTAAATGAGCAGAGTTTGACCAGTTTTCTGAACAAATAATGTAATGGATTCAGAATTTTCCAAAGGCACTCAGCCGTTTCAGTTTTCAATCTTTTTTTTTCTTCCAAAAATCTCCTCCCATGAATTCCAAGTTATGATGCCTTTATAGGCAAGGCATTAGGGCAGCCTTAAAGAATTCACATTTGCACTTAAAACCCTCTGGAATTTTTGTTTTTTGCTTAGGAGTCCTTTATTTAAATTTCAGAGCTTCAAATTAGTCCCCCTCCCCAGTTTCCTAGAAGCTTCCTATTTAGTTACTAAAATATTCCCTACTTAGATTTCCTAGACTACCCTTAAAACCCCGGTTATTTACCCCTCAATTGTTAACTTGGGTTAAGTTAACCCAAAGTCCAACTAAACTAGCCCCTTTAACTAGGTCAGTGGTGACCATAGTTACTTATGAGGGCTTGAGTACTTAGAACTGACCAAACGAAACCAGAGAAAGAACAAATCCAAAACTTGAGGGTAAACACAAGCACCTCTGATTTTAGGCATGAGTTAATTTTAACTAATCAAACTCAGAATTGACTATTATAGATCATCAATTAAACAAAGAAAATGAAACAAATGAAATTAAACAAATAAAACAAAAAATACTACATTGTAAAAGATCAGTGAGAAAAAAGAGGGGAAAATTAGAAATTTAAACTCTAAAACCTAAGCAAAAATGGGCAGACAAAATCGGGGCACAAATATTAGCAATTTGCGAAGAAAAACCAAACATGAAGGGAAGCAAGTATGAAGAAACAAATTAACCTAAAAGGGAATAAGTTGGGTTCAAACTAGTTTCAGTAGGAAGAAAGCTCAACTACACGAAGAGGAAACGACGAAGAAGAACAGGAGGTGAAATATCAAGAACAAACAAACGACTAAGAGAAACTCACCGATTCAGGGCTCGTACCTGACTGACCTTCCAATTTAAACCGCGAAATAATGTCAATCACCTGTTCTTTGTCAAGAACAGGCAAATAACATTGTTTCATGATAAGATCGGCATTGAACACTCATAAGAAATTGGAGCATTAACCTTGCATGCACTGGTCGGGATTTGGCTTCTAGGGCTTGAGCTCAGATTCAATATTCGAAGAGTTTCAGCCATATTCGAGGGGAATGGAGTAAGGATTTGGGAAGAGAGGGTCTTGGTGGTCATGGGGTGTTATTTTGGGAGTGATTGAAGGTGGCGCCGCCATACTAAAGCGGTGGGAAAAAGGGGCGGCTGCTAGGGTTTCGAGGGTGGTCTCTGAAGAGACGAGGGTGAGAGAGACGATGAGAGTGGGGTGAGAGTTATTCGGACAGTTATATAGTAAACCCACCCCACTTCAGGACCGTTTGATTAAGCAAATTCAACGGTCTTGATCGCCTGTTGCTGAAACGGGGTCGTTTTGGATCGTTTGGTGGGGGACCTGGTTGGACACGACTTATGGCTTGGGCTGGGGCGGGTTTTGGGGAAAACGGATTGGGCCTGGGCTATTCAATTGCCAAAACCCAAAAAAAAGCCTTCTTTCTCTTCCTTTCCCTTTAATTCCTCTTTTTCTTTTCATTTCTTTTATAATAAAATTAAAAATAAACCTAAATTAATTCCTAATCACAATATCCTATCAAATTGAATTAATTAACTTTAACTAATAATTACCACAATTAATTAAAACTAAATTAAAGGAAAACTACTAAAATTCAAAACTAAAGTTAAAAGTGAAAAAATAAACTAATTTTTGTGATTTTTCCATTTCTGTAAGACAACTAATTTGCTAATTAGTCTAACAAGATGTAAAATTAAATCCTAAATGCAAATGCAACATTATTTTTTTTGTATTTTTCATTAATTAAACAAAATTAAGACGCGCAGAGAAATGCAAATAATTAACGAAAAATGCTACAAAAATCTACGAAATTGCAAATAAAGGGAGAAAATTATTTTCTTGGATCTGTGGGAGTAATTTATATAGGGCAAAAATCACGTGCTCACAGCTGCCCCTCTTTGCTCGGAAACACAAAGAGTTTTCGTGCAAAGATAAAGTGAGCGGATACGAGCGATTTTTGCCCGTTTGAATGCTCCTTGGGAAGCATTTTTGAACGATTTGACCGCACCCTGCTTCCAAGGTTGCCTACATATCCTTGGCTATAAAGGAATCAGGTCAGTGTAGTTCGGGAAGTTTTGGTAGCTGGGACTACCATGAAGTTGTGATTTCACTATTGTTGTTGCTGCTGCTACTGATTACTGAACTCCTTATTACACCGTGACAAAATAAAAGAAGCTAGACTAAACTATGATCTAAACGTTACAAAAATCCTATCTATATCCTCAATCTTAATCTTGCGATTCATGTTGCCTTGTTGACTTGTATTCTCCAGGTGAAGTCCCTTTGTTGTCGACTCGAATTGTAATCTGAGATGCTTTCCCTTTTCTCCAGGTGGACGCCTGATTGCTGAACTTGAATCGTCTTCCTCCGAATATTGCTGCTTTCCCTTCGTTCTCCAGGTGGGCTCCTGATTACCAATACTTTGAGTTACTTTGTTCTCCAGGTGGGATCCTGATTACCGACGCTTAAATTGTTTCCCTTCCTTAAAACTGGTGTTGTTCTCCCTTACTCTCCGGGTGGGCGCCTGATTGCCAAAACTTTATCTGTATTCCCTTGCTTTCTAGGTGGGCGCCTGATTACCAAAACCTTAGTTGTATTCCCTTGCTCTCCAGGTGGGCGCCTGATTGCCAAAATTTTAACTGTATTCCCTTGCTTTCCAAGTGGGCGCCTGATTACCAAAACCTTAGTTGTATTCCCTTGCTCTCCAGGTGGGCACCTGATTGCCAAAACTTTAACTGTATTCTCTTGCTTTCCAGGTGGGCGTCTGATTACCTAAAACCTTAGCTATATTCCCTTGCTCTCCAAGTGGGCGCCTGATTGCCAAACCTTTAACTGTATTCCCTTGCTTTCCAGGTGGGCGCCTGATTGCCAAAACTTGAACTGTATTCCCTTGCTCTCCAGGTGGGCGCCTGATTGCCAAAACTTTAACTGTATTCCCTTTCTTTCTAGGTGGGCGCCTGATTACCTAAAACCTTAACTGTATTCCCTTTCTCTCCAGGTGGACGCCTGATTGCCAAAACTTCAACCATATTCCCTTGCTCTCCAGGTGAGCGCCTGACTGCCGAAACTTGATCTGTACTCCCTTACTCTCCAGGTGGGCGCCTGATTGCCAATACAGTCTCCAGGTAGGCGCCTGATTGCCCAAACTTCAATTGTACTCCCTTACTTTCCAGATGGGCGCCTGATTGCTGAAACTTCAACTATATTCCCTTGCTCTCCAGGTGGGCGCCTGATTGCCAAAAATTTAACTGTATTCCCTTTCTTTCTAGGTGGGCGCCTGATTACCTAAAACCTTAGCTGTATTCCCTTTCTCT